AAGCTCTGGCCGCGGATGCTGCTAAGTGCTATAAATTAATGTTTGTTCGTAATGGAGCAGGTAAGAGAAACACTTGTGTTGAAAAAATTGAACTCTGGCACAGTTTATCAGCACAGCTTAATATCCACATGCTAGCTTCACTTTGAGGGACCTAAGTGGGCCAAAACTGACTTAATATAACAAATGTTTTTAAGTTTTTACAAAGAATATTGCAAATTTTATAATATGGGTTAGGATCTGAAAAAAGTTTAATGTTGAAATGTCTAGGAATTCAGATTTTTTTGTATCTAAAAAAGTTAAGTCAGGTCCTCTGGACAAATAAAAAAAAACTTGTTGAAACTTTTGTCTTTAATCCAAAAAACTAAGTTCAGTCTGAGGAGTTGCAACAAGCTCAGTTTCAAATAGCCTCTTCTCATAGTGGATCAACCTGTTAACATAAGGAAGACCTGCAGCCTAACAACCCCTAACAATGGTTTCTTTTCACAAAGATGGCTTCCTTTACTCCTCTCTCAAACCATAGTTCCTCTCTATCAAGGATGTGCACATCTTCATCCCTGAAAGTGACTGCTGGCCTGCAGATGAGTGTAAACTGCCGAGTCTTGGCCTGAAGATGTTGCTCTTCTGTGCTGGGCCAAAGAGCAACATCATCAGGCCAGGAAAACTCTGTGGTTTACACTCATCTGCAGGCCAGCAGTCACTTTCAGGGATGAAGATGTGCTCATCCTTGATAGAGAGAAGTGTTGGTTTGAGAGAGGAGTAAAGGAAGCCATCTTTGTGATGAGAACTCATCCATCACTAAACAGGGACAGAGGCCTCTGTGTCCAACTGTAGCCCTCTTACAATGCTGTTATTGCTGGTATCTCTCAGCCCCCTGTGAATAGCAAACAGCCTAGAGCACTAACGATCCATTGTTAGGCTGATGATGGTCCTCCTTTATCATGTTAACAGCTAGTTCTGGATGTCAGCAACAAACTGGTTGATCCACTATGAAAAGAGACTATTTGAAACTAAGTTTGTTGCAGCTTCTCAAACTGACAGTCTTTTGGATTAAAGACTAAACGTTTCAACAAGTTGTTTTTTTTTTTAATCTGTCCAGAGGACCTGACTTAACTTTTTTAGATTTTCTACCTGGATTATTGAGGATATTTTGTGTATACCCTTCATTACTCCAATAAATTATCTGAATATTAAAATCCTTGTATTACAATATTTTATTTAAACTTTATTTTACCAGGTAAAGTTCCGTTGAGATTAAGAACTTTTTTTTTGTTATATGAATAGCCAATACATATAAATAGTCAATAAGTGAAAATGAATAGATGGGAAATTATGGATGGCTTTTTAGACGTGTGCAAACAACATGCATTCAAAGTGCGCTCAATTGAACTCAGTCTTGGTGGTTTGCGTTAATCAGGTGGTGGTGGCCTGGGATGGTATCAAAATTCCCGGCCTGGATTATTGTCCCAGTCCGCCCCTGGGTGGGGGGGTCAGTGGTAGAGGAACAACGTATAGTTGTCAAAAGCCTAGAGGGCCCTCAAGGAACTCTTTGGTTCATGTCTGTATGGATGAACGTTTAATGCGTCAGACAAAAATTGTGTCATGAATAGAGAAAAAAAGTAAATAAGTTACTTCGGATTATACGTCGCAGGACTGGTCAAACTATGAAACAAAGAGTCCGGAAAATACGGTACTTGTTGATAATTAGTTTGCATTTTTACTTGTCGACAATTTGAATTAAAGCCAGGAAGATTTCAAATGAACAACTTGAATGGCGCTGTTTGTTTTCAGTCTCTGCATTATAAATATTCATTCCTGAGCTGTTTCTGACCAAAGAAACTAATTAGTTACAAACTAAATTACAAGAAACTTCAAAGCAGAGCAGAAATCTCACTAAAGTAAAGACAGATACAAAAAAGTCCCCTTCTTGTTGCCTTAGACGGAAAGTAAGATTGAGGCCTCAACCACAGCCTGTCACCATATGAGCTGTCAGCCTGCCAGGATGTGACAGACAGGAAGCTCAGTTCAGACTTACATCACAACCTGCCTCTGACAGTTCCATCAATACTATGAAAAAAATAAGAAAACTAACAAAATCACTGCTCTCAAATAGGCAGGTCATTTAATGTTCAGTGGATTCTGTCATAGTTCGTCCCTGGATCCCCCTCAGTTTCTGTTTATTTTATCCTGTTTGGTCCTGCACTGCCTATCACCCATTTTCTGCTCCTGTCACTCTCTCTCAGCAATCTGCACTCATCTGCTGCACCCTGTCTCTGCAATCACCACTCACCTGCCACACCTGTTCAGCTCACTACTTAAGCTCCACTCTCACTCTCCTCAGTGCCAGTTTATTGAAAGCCTCACAGCCAGTAAATTATCCAGCATTCTCTTGTTCCTAGTTTCTTAGTTTTTGATCACAGCTTCACTCTTGACTCCTCGCTTTGACTTTGCCCCTGTCTGGATACCACGCTCTCGGCCTACACGGTACAACCTCGCTCTCCTCTTCGACCACGACTACGGATCATCCTTTTGCCTGTTCACGCAGCTCCTGGCTCTCGACCCCTGCTACGTCCCTGGATTCTGTTTCCTGCCCAGCCCTCCAACGTTCTCTGTCTCAGCCCTGCTCCTGCCACAGAAAGTTAGTGACGTGCACACCACCTCTCTCAGCTCCCAGAACATTTTTTTTGCAGTCACTGACCTGTCTATCTTCATAGATTAGACCAGAACCGAGGCTCGGATTCCCCCCAGACGAACGCCTTTAATAAATAAAACTTTTTTTAATATTGTCCTGAGTCAGGTGTTGTGCTGATCCATACAGACTCGTTAACAGATTCATGTTTCCTGTTTTTTTTTTTCAAAAGCGTACAAAACTGTAATGAACAAATGTATATCCTGTTTGTCAAACTAAAGCTGAGAAGCTAAAGAGACACTCCTTCTTTCAGCTGTTCCCTCTTCAGGGTCTCCAGCAAGTCATCCTCTTCCATCTCACCCAAACTACCTCCATGTCCTCTCTAACTGCATCCATATATCTCCTTTGTCTTTTTCCTGGCAGCTGCATTTCTAACATCCTTCTACCAGTATACCCACTGTCCCTCCTCTGGACATGTCTAAACCATCTGTCTGGTCTCTATCTTTATCTCCCAGTTTTTCAACCTGTGCTGTACCTCTGATCTTATTCCTAATCTTATCCATCCTTGTCACTCTTAAGGAGAACCTCAACATCTTCAATTCTGACACTTCCAGTTCTTCTGTCTTTTTGGCCATGTCTCTGTCTTCAGACCATACAACATAGCTGGTCTTACCACTGTCTTGTAAACTTTTCCTTTGACCTTTGCTGACACCCTTTTGTCACAAATCACTCCTGAAACTTTTCTCCATTCACTCCATCCTGCCTGGACTCTCTTTCACTTCTTTGCCTTTGTTTTCCTGGAGAGTGGACCCCAAGTACTTGAAGTCATGCACCTTTGTAGATCTTGTAGCGTCACTGTTCCACCAGCCTCCCCCTCATTCACACACTCAGTACACCTGGCTGAACAGGTCTACAGCTTGCAACAAGTCCTTCAAAAGTTAGGAAGTGACCCAGTCAGATGGCAACTTGTGGAAAAGAGACAACTGAACATCATTAGATCGATCATGAGTGTTCGTCTCCATTTGAAGCAATTTGCTAGGAACAGTGTGTCTAAAGATCCAAGCTAAAATTGATTCTTTGGTAAGTTTTGTTACGTGTCCATGTAACATAGCAGAAAGAAAACCCAACGACCTGTTGATTAGGATCACTTTGAAAGATTACAAGTATATAATATTAAAAAGACGAGGAACGACTCAACACTTTTGACTCGTACTGTACTTCAGCAGTACATAAACTGAAACATTCACACAGATAAACACTTCCTGATATTTGATTCTTCTGGTATGGCTAATGTTCAGTTTTTCTAAACTTAACTGTGAACTCCAAAAATCTATTTATGTTCATTAGAAAAGAAACTTCTCAGATAAAGGGCTTTCATAATTTTAATATAGAACACTTTATTTTAACCAAATAATGTTCAGTCAGGTCATCTGGACGGTTTATTTTATTGTTCTGAGACGTTTCGCCCTCCATCCAGAAGGCTTCATCAGTTGGAGGAAACGTTAAACAAAACTGATTCTCCCCCAACAGCTAACTCCGAAGTGAAACACCCCCCCACCCCACCCCCAAGTTATGTTGGCGCTAGGATGGCATCCGGTACCCGCCCTCTCCTCCGGTGCCCACCCTCTCCCTCGTTGACAGTCATGTCAAACTGG